TGTCGGGCCGGCGGACCCCCACCCGCCCCGGTCGAGTCTCGTAGGAAGCTGTAATCAAGCTGCGTGCTGGCGTGGGGGAAAGCGAGTGCCAGCCGGCCTCGGGCGCCAGCAGGGGCGGGAAGGGATTCCTCTTGAGGCGGTGACACTGACCCCGGCTGTGGCGCGTCTCCGGGCCGGGAGCCGCCGGAGAGCGCGGGCTGCCCTCTGAGTATCGACTGTAAAAAGAGGAAAGTGTGCCAGTGGTAACTGCCTGGGTAGGGGAGGCGTCGTACCTTATCGCGGGTATTTTCACACGCCCGTTGTAGGCCTGCTGCCCTATCAGCCCCAGTCTTTCGTAAAACCGATACATCATGGCCGGGTTGGGGTTGAAGTTGGCAGTAATTGTAGAGAATGAAGCGTAGTCTTAGAGGATTTGCGTTCGTCTGAGAAGTGAGCTTTTCCTTTAGGCCGCAGATCCCATGAAATTTAAATTCTGACCAGTTTTGTCCCCCTTCGTGTAGTGACGGTTGAATTGCAGCAAATACCTTTTTCTTTAATGGCTTCTTGTGTGTGTATGGATTAGTAGGAAAAATGTCCTCTAAACATGCTGATTGTTTCCCTTTTTCAGCTGTTGCAGTATGACCAAAGCTGCTCATCTTGTGCCATATATTTATTTGAGTCTTTTATCAGTTGTAATCAGTAAGTTCACTGAGCTGTGTTGAGTTGATATTTCTGGCCTTTTGTCACATTAGCAACCACTAATAGTCAATAAGAGCTTATCTGACTTTTTTTGGTGAAATTGGTCTTCTGTAAGGTTCAAATCAGTGCACGCACACGTGCAGATGCTTCTGTACTGTAAAGGACTAAAAAGGGAAGCTGTTGAGACTTTTATGGAATAAATAGTTTTATAAAATATTATCATTTTGTTGAGAGGTGCATTATTCATATATGATTAGTCATACTTTGTATGACTTGATTTACCAGCACTGCTTAATTTTTTTTTTTAACTTATTTATTCTTTCAATGAGTGCTTTCCAAAGCAGCCAGTTTGCCTATTGCATTTCTGGTTGGAGGAGTTGTATACCCTCTCTACAGAAGTGTTTGTGCTGCCTAAAAGAAACTGGTTGCTAATACAAGTTGGCCTGTACTGCATACAACTCTACTTTTGTCTAGTCTTTTGAAGTTGAAGATTGCCTACCCAGGGTGATTTCTCAATAGGCTTTTTACATATTTATCTTGTAATTTATCTGTTGTAAATGTTGCAAAATTTAAGATTCTTCTGTATAAAATGTTTTATACAATGTTGCGTGCTTTTCTACGTAATTTCTGTAGCGAGCTGCTCTTAATGAGTAATGCACACAGTTCAATTTTTCTTAATTGGTAAGCTGTGGTTTGTACAGAGTACACACAGTGAAGTGAAATGGCAACACTGGCTAATAGTTTTGTAATGGTCTGTATTTGTTCTTTTATCTATACTTGTTTTTTAAAGATTTTGAGGCAGTATGACTAGAACGGGAGTTAATGTATCAGTAAGCCAATCTTACCAAATAGCTTTGTATCTTCTTTTTTTTTTTTTTTTTTTTTAACCCCCTTAAGATCATCTAGAGGTCTTTGGAAAAAGTGCGTACTGGCTTGTATGGGAAAAAACCCTAATGTTAGAATGAAGTTTAAAAGTGGATGTTTGAAGGGAGGCAGTGAAAGCATGCTGTGTACTCTCATTTTGTAATTCCTAAACATGGGTAAAATAAGCTAACTTTCCTTAACTTATGTGGGTATAGTTGGACCACTTTCCCTTCTTTTTCCTTCCAAAATGGTTGCCTGAAACATCTTTTTTTTTTTCTCCCCCTGTTAGGATGGCAAGCTTCAATGAAAAGTGGGAGTCTGTCATACATTCTACCATGCAGTCGTCTGCCTGTGCAGTTGATGAGTCAAGTGAGAGTTTATACATCCAATGGTCAGAAAAAAGATCTTGGATCAGAAGATGCAAATAGATCAACCCCTGAAGAAACCCTGCATAAAGCTGGAACAGGTAGTACTGAGCTAAAATAAAGTGTATTTATATAAATGTAAAAACTTTATGTATTTAACAATTGTGAACTTTTTTTTTTCCAATTGTGTGATATTGCAGAATTCTTAGTGTTTGTTGCTTGTGGGCATCTATGTATAAATTTCAAATGCCTAAGCAGGGAGGAATGCTAAAATCTATTTCATTGTCATTCCAGTATTTAAAGGATTTAAGTTTAATCAAATTTAAAGTGATGGTGATAAAATGTGGATGTCAGAAGGGATTAGGTAACTTCAGAGATAAGAAATGGAATGTATTACTTGTCTTTTACCACTTTGCTTGCTTACTTGAATTCTTTTTGTAGTATTTCAGGTTTGTTGTGTGAAGTGAACTAGTGATAAAGACTGAATGAGTGTGAATACTGAGCACTCTGACTTCTCCAGGTCAGGCAAATAGATGAGTGGTAAAGAAGGTTGAGCTGTTTCATCTGCTAGAGTTTTCTAATCTGACAGTTGTCACACCTGCAGCATTCGCATTAAACACTTGATATAATGGATGTAACCTGACCCTCCTTGCTGTTTAAATTGATTGTCAATCTTGTGCTAGTTAGGTGCTTGTGAAATTCAGAACTGTCTTGTCCTTGCTCCATTGTAGCATCCTCTATTTCTTCTGCTTATTAAGTGTAGGACTGCACAGATGTATGTTTGGAAGACTACTGTGCTTAAGAGATAACAAATGCTTTTTAAAATGAAAGCTCTTTTTCTGTGTGCTTTTGTCTAAAACTAAGTGGTCTACTAAAGAAAATTTTCTTCGTTGTCAGGTTAGCAGGTATTCATTCTTTCTTTAGTAACTTGTAAATTCGTGAGGCTCGCAGCAGTCTTTAAAAGCTAGTAACTATAACCAGCTAAGTGTGTTACTTTTCTGATGTTTGGAAGTACAAAAGTGGATCTTAAATGTTGTTCTAAGTGTAACAATTACATACTATTTCTTAAGTCTGTGATTGGATTTTAGAAGAGGATAATACTTAAGACCGTTTATGTTTCTAGGAGAGTCTTGAGCTGAAGATGGTTGCTAGAGGGTGAGATTCTTGTAGAAGAATGTCTGCCTGAATACAGTGGAAGACTGTAGAGCCAGTTGTAGTTGTTGGTATTTTCTGGGTTCTTAGTGTGCAGTTACTGGTGTTAAAAATCGGACACGTGAAAATAGTCTAGCACTATTGCTTTCATGATTGCCTTAAGTTCATAAAATTGTTGACTGTCATCAGAAGGGGGGTTCCCACCTTCTCCCACCCCTATCTGATTACTCCCTCTCTTGTGCTGGCATTAATGGCACTTAGGCCTGTTTTGTGAAAAATTAATTGCTTTCTTGTTTTGCAGAGCTAGGGTAGAGGTAGGATGAATCAGTAAGCTGATCCTGCTCACTGTCTCTAAAATGGCTGAAGGAGAGACCTGCCCTTTGTGGCAGCGTGGCCTTGAGTTGTAGTAAGCCTTGAGTGGAACTGCACCACATGGGCACCATGACACTTACCTTTTGTTGAGAGTAGGGGCTGGTGTATGCAAGTGTATACGAAACTGCAGCCTAGAGATATTGTGCATAGGTGAACAATCACTTTGAAGTTTATTTTGGAATGCATGTTGTTATATGCACGCTTCATATAGGGGGTGTTTTCTGGGGCCTAGTGGATAGAATGTTCTTATGCATTATGGACATATTACTACTGTTTATTTAAAAAAAAAAACATGGTATTTTGATAGAATTCTGAAAAGGTAATATACTACTTGTAAAGATTGCCATACTTTTCCAGTAACTTAAATATTTAGGAGATAATGGATCTCTTTTGGACCTCCATTTCTTTATCAGTAAACTTGGGAAATGCTTTTCCTGTTAATGTGATATTGAAAATATTAATGTATTCATCTTGAAAGTTCTATCATATCAACCTCTGCTTGTCTGAAAAAGAGTAATTGTGAATTGAAGTATTCTGTTTTTTTTTTTTTTTCCCCCCCTCACTGATGCACTGTGGTTTTTTCCAGTCTCTAAGCCAAGGTAGTGAACTTTAAAAGGGTACTTGATGTACATAGACCTCCGTGCATAGATATAAATCTTGATATTTTTGTGCCTTTTTTTTTTCCCCCTCCTCTGAAATCTTATGACCCAATCTTTTGTTAAATTGTGTTGGTGATATTTCTTTTAACGACAGAAATGGTTGCATACAGTTTCTGAAAAGAAGCTACTGCTCAGTTTTTGCTAAGCAATCTTAGCTGAAGTTTTTTTATCATGAATATTGATAGATCGGCTGCTTGGTGTTTTAAACCAGGTAAGAAAAGAAAGGAAAGAAACAGCAAAGGGTTTTTTGCTTTTGTTTCCAAGTTGAACAATAACTGATAGGGATGACTGTTTTAGGAATGCTAGTTATTTATGGTCCAGCCTTATTTGTTGCGTAATAAAATCAGTTTCATAAATTTGTAAGTGTTATTTTTCCGAGACAGTGTACTTGGATTGTAATTAGCATCAGTCCTCAGTTGCTGTTAGGCAATAACTAATTGCCTGATGGAAAGATAGTTATGTAGTCCAAGCTTCAAGAATATCTGACCTTTGAGTAATTTAAGTAGCATGTTAAGCTAGGAGTATCTCATTAATTAACACAAACATGCTTGAAAAATCTTCACATTTTTTTTCATATATCACTTTCAATAAGGTCAGTTTTAATTTTGTTAATGACTGCGGATGTGTGGCAAACCTCCAATGTTAGAGAGTGTTAGGGCACAAAAGAGTGGGTATGTTAGTTTGACGTGTTAGAATCATAATGTTTTTGTTCTGAAAGCTATGTCGAGATGTATGAGATAAGGATGCAGTATTTGTTTGTAGTAGTACTTCTGATTTCTAAGTAGAAATCTCACTGAAATTAGTGGAATGTATTATTTTCCAAATATTAAGATTCACTTAACAGTACTGCAAATTATATTTTATTGGCTTTTTATTGAGTCATATTCTCAAATTTCAAAACCAGCTAAAATACTTTGTTTTCATTCTAGTTCCAGCTTGTGACACAAGAGTTGTGGATTTTAGTTTAAATATTCTGTATTTTAAGGAGCTAGCTTTTTGTAAGTGAAAAAGCTTCAGTCCCTTAAAATTGAATTACAGCTTGAAAGCTCTATGAGACTCGGGTGATCAGCAGCCATAAACTATACAGAATTCAATATATTTACTAATCTAAAATTTTGCATAAAACTTGCCCCAAACTGTAAGTACCCTGTTAAAATATTTTTAAAAGTTCGGGATACTTTCTGAAGTATGTTGCAAGTTGGTGCTCTTCTGCAAGCTGCTAGGAGTTTATTGATCAATGCTATATTAAATGTCTTATTTTGTTATTTATTGTTTTACTATTTCTGTCTTTTATTTTGGGAGTTTTAAGTGTTGGAAATCTAGCAAAAATGTTTTTTAATTGTCAGGGTGGAAAGCAATATTAAGATACATTTTTATTTTGTTATGTCAACCAAACTCTTTAGTAAAAAGAAAACTAGGTACTTCCATATTTACAGTGAGCTTTATTTTTGTTTTACAGGACAAGATACGACCAATGCAGGCCAAAAGCAGTCTTTCCTTAAAGATCCAATCCAAGTAAAAGGTAAAGAATTACTTCCTGTATTGAAACTTCATTGCTGTCTGCTAGATGTCAAAAAAGATATGTGTAAGGAAACTGTGGTTCTTCTTCAGTTATGTAACAAGTTATGTGAATAACATTTTAAAACACACTTGTATGTCACTTTGTTTGGTATCCAGTTGTTTGAAAATGACCCATGAAAAATCAGATATAGCAGTATTCCTTCTAATTACTCACTGTTCTGTGTCTGTTTTTAATTGTTTCATTTAAGCTGATGAGTTTGTCAGGAAAATTCCAATTTGTTTTCTCATCTGTTATCACAGTCTGTCCTCCTTGCATGTTTTTAGGCATGTCCATTCACCATCTCAGACTTAATGTGGCTAAACTGAATACTTGATCTTCCCCTGTTCCTTGTTCTAAGTCTTCCTCTGTTCCTTCTTATTGCTAAGTTAATCTAATCAGTGTTGCTTCTAAATATATTTTGACCACATGAACTGCCTAATCTGAGTCCTGTAACGTTCCCATTTGTGCCTGTAGTAAATACATGCTTTTGTCTTTAGTTACGGTGTTTAAAAACGTAAGTGGATAAAATAAGAGCATAACTTACTTTGATGTTTTTAATTTATCATGACTTGATTTCACACCATCTTCACTCCGATAGTTTCTATTATGTTATTGTGAGAATTATGCTATTAAAAACTCTTGTGCATTTGATCACTCCTAGCCTTCTATGTATGGAGAGAACTTTATCAAAATAGAAATTGCTATTTCTCTTTAAACTCCGTTTAAAAAAAAAAAATGTCTGGAGTGAAGGTGACTCAGCAGGCTATAAACTGTATCAAAATTCCTTCCTATCTTTCCCCAAATTTAAAGAAACATCAAAACATAATACTTGTTCGTAACAAGGTGAGATCAGTGTCTCTCTATGTATATTTTCTGTATGCTTTTGTTTACATCCTGTATGTCAATTTCTTTGGTTCTGTTGTCACTTAGTGTATGCATGCAGGGGGAACATACAAGGTAGATAGGAGAAATTAGATAAACTGTGAAATAATTGTAAAAATAAATATATCTTTCAGTGAGAAGAGAGTTTTGCCTCTGTAATTATAGATGCGCAAGCAAGAATGTTTGTTAAAGATTTTGATAGTGTCTAGAAAGTGGAATTCTAGTCTTCAGATGCTGCTGTGACTTAGTAATACTTGGACCAGTAAGTTTCTAAGACAATAACATTTTTAAAGGATCACTAATCTTAAAAATTTGCACTATTTAAAGTGTTTTATTTACATAATCTTTTATTGGGCTTTGTCCTTCTCTTGGAAATACCAAATTGATTCTTTTTCTCCACATTTATTGCCAGTTTTATACAATTATTTGAACTAGGGATAGGATTGTTGAGATATTCTGCAATGTACAGTTGGTTATAGTATTTTCTTTTAGTGAAATTTACCTGTGTTTCTGAGAGATGGATTAGTAAGTGTTTGAGAAATCCACAAGTTATTTTTTACTAAGGTTAATACACTTTGGATATATATCTGTTTTAAATAAGAAAAGACGGGAAGCATTCTTCTTGTTTAAAGATGTTCATCCTGTTCTAACCTTAGTAAATGATGGACTGTTTTTTAGGAAATCTCTAATTTTTTTGTCACCTTTGCTCAGGAGCATTGTGGGATGCATGTGATTACTCAAGTACTTAAAAAATTGTTTGAATTCAAACTGATGACAGAAATCGGATTATTATGGTAAATATTGATATCTGTAGTGTTAGTGCATTGTTGAGTGTCAAACTATATTTTGCCTTTAAGTTTTCAAAACCCAGAAATAAGACAATGTAGAACTCTGGGAAAATTTTTCTCAAAGTCTTTAAATGCAGTATCTTTCTGTAAGTGTCCTATGACTTAAGGAGAAGTTCTGGACTAAGAAAATCTGTAGAAAAACTACAGAAATCATATCAATCCTGTGATATGCAGGAAGTTCATAAGTCGTCTCGCCTGCAGAATTTGAATTAGAGTTTTGACTGCCTCTTCATGTTCTGAATTCCATTCCCATGATTTTCCTTTTCGTAAAAGTGAATATAGTGGGCGAGCAATGACAGAAAATCCAGGTACATGTTTTCTCCAATATCCTAAAGTACCCACAAGCTGTTGTAATTCTTTCTTCGATTGGGGCATCTGCAATTACTCTGTTTTACTTAGGGTGTCTGGTGGAATTGTTGCACTACCTGCAATCTACCAAGTACCTAAAAATTTTACTTCTCCACTTGATCCCTGACATTTCTCAAAGGGGATTTCAGTTTCTGCTTTATGTAACACTTGCCATACTGCTGTTGCTGCTTCCCCCACCTCTTCAGAGTTCTTTAATGTTATATCCTTCAGCAATTGTAACTCTTCGTCCAATAAGCATAACGTTTTTAATGGAAGTGAGTGTATAGCGACTTGCATTTGAAAATAAGATGAAGTTATGTACGTAGAGACAAGCAGGAAATAATGGCATAAATTTAAAATTCCATTTATCCTTTTTCTGAATACGTGTGGTATTCTTTTCCTTGTGCATGAAAATCTGATGTGATAAGAGTACATCTGCTAGACATACAAAGCATTATAAATAAAGAATGTATATTTTTAATTGTTATAAATGCACAATATTAAGTGTGCTAATTTTGAAAGTAATAGTTGAGAAAAATGACATAAGTCTGTCTCCGTTCTCTGTATGGTCTGCAAAGGTCAAAAATCTTATCTCCATGTTGTGGTTTAACCCAGCAGGTAGCCAAACACCCACCACCGCACAGCCAAACACCCACCACCGTACAGCCGCTCGCCCACTCCCCCTACCCCGCAGTGGGATGGGAGAGAGAATTGGAAGAAAAAAAAGAAAAAGTAAAATTTGTGGATTGAGATAAAGACAGCTTAATAGAACAGAAAAGGAAGGGAAAATAATAATAATGGTAGAATATACAAAATGAGCGATTTACAATGCAGTTGCTCACCATCCGCCGACCGATACCTAAGGAGCAATTGTTACTTCCTGGACCACGCCTCCTATTTATATACTGAGCTTGATGTCATATGGTATGGAATATTCCTTTGGCTAATTTGGGTCAGCTGTGCTGTCTGTGTCCCCTCCCAGCTTCTTGTGCACCTGGCAGAGCATGAGAAGCTGAAAAGTCCCTCACTAGTAGACTACTTAGCAACAACTAAAAACATCAGTGTGTTATCAACGTTCTTCTCATACTAAATCCAAAACACAGCACTAGGAAGAAAATTAACTCTATCCCAGCCGAAACCAGGACACTGCAGAAGGTGGAATTGGTTAAGTATCGGAAAAAAGAAATGGAGCTCTATGTTGCCATTTCAGTTGCTCTAGCAAGGGTTTCCAAATTGCCATATTTGAATGCTATCTTTAGTAGCCAACACCATCGCTGACATCAAAGTTGGAGAAGTAGCTGACGGTGGCAGTTAAGTGTATAGGGCGTACTTAGCAAGTAGCATTTTTGGAAGTAAATCATTCTACTCTTACTCATTTCTACGATGAAGAACATTCCTTTTTCTTCACTGTAGGCTTTCTATCTCATTGACAAGCATTGTTTTTCAGATCTAGAGGTATCAAGATATGACACTAGATTAATTACCTTTTGAAGTGTAGACTACTGTAGTCTCCATGAGTGACTTAACTTGCTTATCTATTTCTCTTTTAAAGTGAAAGCAGTCCTTAAAAAAAGAGAGTATGGACCAAAATACACACAGAATAACTTCATCACTGGAGTCAGAGCAATAAATGAGTTTTGTCTTAAATCCAGGTATGATGGGTTTGAGTTGAAATTTAAATCGTGAATATTTGTTCAATATGTGCTTCAAAAGTGATTGTGATTGTAGAGTGATTTTACACAGCAACTTTTTCTCAATGCTTTTGTGGTATACATAATCATAAGTTGCTGAAGTTAGTTCTTGTTTACTTACTGTTACAGTGGATTAGGAATTTGCACTTAGTTTGCGTGTTTCCGTAGTTGCGTCTTAAAGTAAGGTATTTGTACTTATATGACCATAAATCTAATTGGGGGGAGTCTACCTCTAGAGCAGGTAGTTATAGGGGGGAATGGCAAATAACTCTTGTTTCAGCATTTTGGGGTCATGGTGGTTTGATGTGAACATCTCTAAAAGATCAGTGGAAACTTCATGTTACATCAGGTCTGTAATTTGGAATAAAATATAATCTGGTTCATTGTAACCTGATTATTGTTACTTGATTCATATTTACTGCCTTTTACGATGTGCCGTGCCTGCCAGCAGGTCTTACTAAGTATTGCTATAGTTGAGGTGTCTGTCAGATTTCATGCATGTTACGTGTGTGACCCATATTAAATCTAAAGGCTTAGCAGCTTTGTTTATAACTTCTTATGCTGTCATTGTTCCTCCCCAGTTTTTACGTATAGTATATGTCACCAGACTTGGTCTTTGCTGAAAATCCAGTGACAAATTATGCTTAGCCCTCTGCCATATTTTTATCATAACTGGCTTGTTGTGCAGAGAAATAACTAGCTAAAGTGTTGCTGGATTGACCAAAAGGGGAGGGGGGGCGGGGGGAAGAAAAAAGGACTTGATAATTAGTTGGACTAAAAATGTTCTGTTGTATTGACGGGAGGAAAAAAAAAATCCCTGATGCTTCTCAATGTAGATGCCCTAATGTGTAGCTCAGCACAGGAAATTTATCTGTTCCCCCAAGTAGTTTTGTTATCTCCAACCTTTTGCAGCTTTTGCTGGTTGTGTAGGTTTTGAGGTTAAATTTCTTAAGTTTTCATGTCACGTAACTTCTGATTTCCACTTAGAGATGTTAAACCATGAACCCTCTTGTTTAGCACTTACACACATTATCAATTACATGCAGATCGTTCATTGGATGTTTTGTTATTCAATGTTTTATTACTTTGTCTTACATGTATAGTATTTTATACTGTGAGGACATGATTTGGACTTTCGAGTGTGGAAAACACAGTGGTTTTCAATAGCATCCTAGAGATCGCTTGCTTCATGTTGCGTATCTGTTCTGTTTGGCTCAAGTAAACAACTTCAGGTTTTTTTTGTGCTGCAAATTAATAATATCAAAATTGTGGAAGACCATCCAGACATGAAAGTAAAATTAGAATAATATGAACTTTTTCTTGCAGTAAACTGTTTGTCCACTTTCCTTAGTGATTTAGACCAGCTGAGGAAAATTAAACGACGAAGCCCCCATGATGACACTGAGACTTTCACTGTGTACCTGAGATCGGATGTAGAGGCAAAGTAAGAACGTTTTTATGAAGGAAAATGTTCGGACCATTTAAAATATGAGAGAGAGAGAGAAAGAGAGAAAAAACTTTTAAAAGTCAGGTTTACTGTGTGTGAAAGGGCAATAATGTTTTCCATTTTCTATCTGAACACATTTTATATTCTCATTATTGTAATAATTGCATGGTGTATATAAAATTGGAGGGTATATTTCATGTGTCCAAAGATTACGTGCTTGTCCTCAGCACCCTCTTGCCCAGCTTTTTATTCTGTAAAGTAGTCTGTGTGGCTTCTTATCAGAACGAATGATGTGATGTTCTGCTTTTAGGAAGGGCATTTGTAATGTAGTCGAACTGAAAAGAAGTTGCATAAATAGTGCCATTGTTAAGGTACTTTTACTTTGTGCAGGTCTCTTGAAGTTTGGGGTAGTCCAGAGGCTCTTGTTAGAGAAAGAAAACGACGTAAAGAGGCAGAGATCAAGTACAGAGAAAGTGAGTATAGAGTTTTCAAATAACTTCAAATGTAAACAAGAAAGTATGATTGTTAGAAATCTGCTAGATGGTATGTTATTTCATTGAGAACACACAAATTTGGAATTAGCAATTACTGATAAGGTTTTATAGTATAGTGTTAGAGTAGCACATCAGTATCTATGCAGATATAGTCTGTTACTATCTTACAATTTATCATCTATGTGATACAGCAAGAATATACATTCAGTTGAGATCTATAGTCATACTTTTTGTTTTTTCGGGGGCTTTCAATTTTTAGATTATAATTAACGTCTTCAATGGTTTTGGATTTTTTATTGAGAATTTTGAAAATAAATCCAAATCTTGATACCGTACTGTTACTCATTTATTTTTCCTCTGAAATGAATTCAACTTACTTTTGTGCTTCAGAAGCGGGGGAAACACCCCCAAATAATCTTTTTGCTTAAAATTGTTGTTGTCATCCTTGCTGGTATTATCAATAGCAGGTACAGTCAAATCAGTAGTTTGTAATGGATTTTGATCTGTCTAGTCAGTTAAAATCACAGGAGAGGCAATATTGCTTCAAGGTACTTATTCCAATTATGCACCTTAAAATTAGAGGTCTTCTCATTGTTTTTTGAAACAGTTGTGCCACTGGAAAACCCTCCTAGTAAAAAGGCTAGAGCTGCAGGCATTTGTTAAGGTACCTGTAGGTGTTTGTACTGAGAGTGCGGTCAGTAGATTCAAAATTTTTAGTGACCAGCAGAATAAACCTTGGACATAATCCAAAAAATGAGATTGAAAAAATACTACTCGGCCATAATGGCATACTGAAACATTGTATACTTGAAATGGTAACTCCCTTTTTTTACAGACTGTCCTTGTACTCCCCTGGCTGTTTTAATCTATTTAAATTGTTGTGTACAATGTATTTTGTATAACTTTGTAGGGGAGAATCTAGCATTACAGCTTCTAGATAGTATAGTATACCAATGCTTATTTTGAAGTTACTGAACATCATTAGTAGATGGAAAAATACTGACGTTAAGAGACTTTCTTTGAAACATCCTTCCCCTTCTCCTTCATGGTTCAGGGGTGGGAGGGGGGTAGTAGAATACCTGGATTTTGTGCAGTGTATTTTGAGTTTTTCCCTCTGTGTATCATCCTTTCTTTGTAGAAATGGCAACAATGTATAGGATCATAACAGATTGTATTTGGCATTTTGCATGAGTATGTAACAATATGTGTTTCTGATTAACAATACCAGGAGAGAAGTTTTTCACAAAGGAAGATAGACTATGTAGCTCTTACTAGAAGTTGGCTGCTGCATAAAAAGAAATAGACTTCAATTCCTGAAACTACTGGTTACTAGTAATATATTCATGATAACAATTTTGTATTGCAGATCTATTTAGAAACCAAAGGCTGTTGAGGGAATACAAGGAGTTCTTTGGAAATACTAAGGTAAGAGATGTTTTTAAAGTTTTTGGCTAGAAACATGCCACAAGATGTACTATGATGCCTTTTGGAGGAAGAAGTTGTGAAATGGTTGCGTAAGCTTCACTAACTGAATATTATTGGAAGATTTATTTGCACTGTAATATACCAGATCTATCTCTGATTGTAATGCAGTGGTAAATATTATGATGCCAGTTTAAATGGGTTCCTACTGTGGCAGTGTAATCCACCAGTAAGGTGTTTTTTTTTCCTTTTAGTCAAAAGCTGCCTTACTAACAAAATTGCAGCTGTATCTGTGATTTCATCTGTAGCCTATAACCATGTATAGTAAATATTTTGTTAATTGAAAGAAATGAAATAGGTTTCTTAAGGAAAAAAACCCAAAACATTAACACTGTGCTCTGTGCCCTACTGGCCCTTCTTCTTTGCTTAAGCAGACCCATTCCCCAGATCCAGGTGCTCTGCTATGGTAGAATGATTTGTTAATCTTTCTGCTGCACAGCTGGCTCCTGTCCTTATGGTTGCAGTGGCCCCTGCTGGAGGCTTTGTTGGTTGTTTATCCTTTTTATAGCCATCAATTTGTAGAAATGTGTAAGACCCAACTGCAGTTTGGGTGAGTATTCAGTAGTAAATTAGAAGGCTTCAAGGACTGTAACTTCACATTTGCAATACAGGGAAGTGCAGTGTTTTTATTTAATAATTTGTATGGTAGGTCCTTCATGAGGTCAAGATTTGGTTATTTTATTTTAATAATCTCTTATTTCTTTATGTAGCCACGCTCCAGTGCAGCAGCTATGTTTTTCAAGGGACCAGGGAAGGTGGTAATGGTAGCTATTTGCATGTAAGTTTAAAAAAACCAAATGTTTTGTTTATGCAAGTATAAAACAATTTATTTTTATTATCCTGGAAATGAGAACGGTCTGTCTAGTCAAGCTAAAGATACCTGTGTCTCTGTTACTGAAGTTAACAGATTTGTTTATTCATTGTTGATGGGAGAGAGTTTAGGTAAATATATGTAGAGAGATCAGGGATAGAATATGTCTCTGATCAGAGATGAGGAAATTTTTTTGAAGTTGATCAGACTGAACAGTTTATTAAAGTGAAAACTAAAATTTTGAAGGACATGGAGAGTCAGGCATTTAAAGTTTTCCTTCTTTCTTGCTCCTTCTTGAGAGAAGTTTTTCATATGTTTTAAACATTCTCCATATAACCAACAGAAAAGAATTCACTTTTCTCTTTCTGCTGTAATTCAACTCTTTTCCTCTCTAACTGAAAAGGGGATATTTTAGGAGGTTTTTGCCTTTCACATGTCTTACAAGTTTGAATGAAACAAAATTAAACTGATGATCCTGATTTAGAGCAAATGAACACAGAGACTATCTGGCATGAAATACACAGAAGTGTGTTAAGTTTTTCTCAGGAAATGATGGCTAAAATTTATTTGCCATAAAACCTGTGAATTTTTAAAATAAATTTGATTTTATAAAAGGTATTTATTTGCTAAGACACTATTGATATAAGGGAGCAAAGCAGAAACATAAGGAAAATGCTTTTTTGGCACAGGAAACAACATTTTGAGCAGGAAATAACTTTGAGTTTTCCTACAAAACTATATGCTTTTTGCTTGGGGGAAAAACCACAAAGCTCATTTGACTGAAAACCTCCCCATTTCTTTATTGAGTATTCTACTAGTAACCGTTCAGAGCTTTCTAAGTTAAAAACATATAAGAACTGCCAGTATGGATGTTTCTAATGAAAAGGAGAAAAAAAAAAAAAAAAAAAAAGAAGAAAAAAGGGGGGGATGTTGTATGGTCACTTCCACCTCCTTCATTATCTAGTACGGATGTTTCTAATGAAAAGAAAAAAAAAAAGGGGGGGGTGGTGGGGAGATGTTGTATGGTCACTTCCACCTCCTTCATTTTCTTACAATGATCTAGTGAAAACTGACCTTTCTTTGTAAATGACCTGCTTTGTAAATAGGGCATTGCTATAAACATTGCACTCTCTTCCCTTCATAAATACCTTTTTGATGATTAGGTATTTTTATAGATGAATGCCTGGCAGCCAGGCCAGCTGAAGTTTGTAGAGCCTGTGTTATTCCTCCATCATCTTTTTGTGGAGCTTTTTTAGAAGTTAAAGGATCTCCTGGCCCTCAAATACCTAATGACTTTTCAGAGATTTAAGTCAAGGCCACCATCAGTGCTCCTCTGTTTGTGGTCCTGATCTTCCTGACACCAGAATGATTTTTAATGGGTTCTGGTTTTGGGTTAGAAAAGCCAATCTGTCTTAACTTCTCCAGTTGGAATGATTTGGTAGGCTTTTCACAAACTTCAGGCTTCTCCAGTGAGGATGAAATGTGGTTCAATCAAAAGCAGAGTTCTTCTCTATGGGTCCACGTATAAATGTATAGACCAGCTGCACTGGCATACTCTATGTTGTTAATAGAATTCTGTGTGTGAGGAAAAACTTTGAAGCTCTGTTAGAGAAATACAGGAAGGTAATGTTTTTTATCGAAAAGGGAATGATCTGTTATTAGCAAAACATTTTTCAGTCTGGCATATTCTGTTGTTCTTTAGCTTATTTCTTCTCTTTGTTTTCAGAAATGGATTGAATTTTTTCTTTAAGCTACTTGCTTGGGTTTACACGGGTTCTTCAAGTATGTTTTCAGAAGCCATACATTCTTTAGCAGACACATGTAACCAGGTGAGTGTTTTTTCCATTCTGCTTAAGTTAGCACTTTTAATAATTTTTCAGGAATAGAGACAGATACTTATAGTAATTGTGTTAGTCTTGAAAGCAGTAATTCAATCTACTAGTGTTCCTTGGTTCGCCTATACTGTCTAAATAGTAAACACCAGAGAAATGAAAACAGTATTTTATTTAGGAGGACTAGAGCACATGGCAAAATACTTTTTATTTACAAAGTTCGCTTATAGATAACATTGGCATTGTAGAGAAGCCTAGAAATTCCAAGTTTATTAGCCCCAGCTCTTATTAAAAATGACTCTCAGATTCTGTTGTAGTGTGTATTTACAGTGCTCTTCCTATTAAATACCTGTGAGTGTTTTTGTACTGTTTTGTATGGTTTACATGCTTCCTAGAATTAATAGTAATATATTCTAGGAGGAAAAAAGCTAGTAGTTAATCTAATGACTATTTAATTTTGAGGCAAAACAGTCTTAACAGTGTTTTTTAAATAAACTGTTTCATCTGGGAGAGGGTGTTCTTGTTTTTTACTTTTTTACTATGTTACTAATTTTTTTTACTTTATTACTAAATAATCTCTGGTTTCAATCATTCAGATTACAAAGCCTGCCCAGAGTGTGACAAGCTTTGTGTACATGCAGTGGGAGGAAGATGTACTCTTTTCTGTGTGTGTGTAGTATACATGTATATTTTTTAGCTTCCCAGAGACAAAAGCGAATCTCACTTACAAAGTAATGTTTTTGTTATATACAGTTTTATCAAACTGTAGACAGATGAAGGCATGTTTTGTCAGAAATTCACATTACTTTAGAAATATTGCTAAACCCAGATCTCTCTCTGCTGTTCCCCAATCTGAATGCAAAGCTGTTGTTACTCTGTTGCAAATTTACTTGCCAAAACTAGTGGTTTCAGCTAGTGGTTTCTACAGGTTTATTTAGGTGCTCTTTTATTTCTTTTTATATTGATGCCAGTAATTTGGTGGAGGGTTTATAAGCACAGTAAAATAACTGACATAGTCTAGAAGCCTTAAATGCAGAAGGAATCTAGAAAGAGTCACCTGTAATTATAAATAAATTCTATTTGAATGGTGTTTGGACTAGTATTTCTGCTAATATAATACTATTTGTAATAATCTACATTATTTCAAACCGCCTGCCCCAGTTATTTCTGTTCTTTTCTGAACTATTGTTTTTTTCATGTGATTGATTATTCTGTACTTCAGTTGCAATTTGTTTTCCCTATAACTATGAAGATGAAAGTGCACCAAAAAATGTTAAACGGGTTATAATATTAGTAAAATATACAAACATTAGGAAATAAGTCCCAGGACAGGCTTAATTTTGTTTGTCACAATGCATATGCATAGTGTGACCAGCGTTATCTTTAGAAAGTGGTGTCTGAACAAAATCTCAGTAATTTGGGTTACATGCTCATTCCTCTCTCCGTTGCTCCCTGCCCCTCCTAGACAAGAATGATGTATTGGTCATCTTAAAGTATTATTGAGTGCCTGTCCAGATAACGTTTTTTAATTTGTATTAGGGTAAGAATGAGACAAGTCAGAATGTAGATTCTTAAGTTTTTTTAGAAATGAGTTGAGAGGAGTTGTAGCAAAACTGTACCCAGCTACTTCATGGATCAGAAGTGGAACTTGAATCTAAGATGATGTACAAAGTATACCTCTTATTTTAAATGTTAACTTGAAATACTTTTCTTGTCAGTTATTGTGATAGAATGACAGACTTTGTTGCTTAGTCATCTTTTGGTAGAATAATGGTGAGAATTTGAGCATCTCAGTTTCTTTTCTATTCCTAGACTGCCTTAGCAGCCTCTCACAGCACAAGTAGCCACATACCTGGCGTATTTACTTTGATAGGTGGTATGGCAGACTCAGAGCTGGGCATGTAATATTAATGTGCAGGGACAAAATTAATGTTGTTTTTTCCACTATTTTCTTTAGTATGCTTGAGGCATACATTACAAGACCTTGAAATTTCCCCTTCTCCCAGCATAGAAGGAATCTTTCCTGTGGCAGTTTTTGATATAGCAAGGCTTTGGAAACAAAAAAAGTACTTAAAGATGAGTGGCTGAAACCCTCCTGCAGCTCAAGCAAGAGGAGTCCTTGGATAGCTTGTGACTCATATAAAATGCAACAGTTTTGTGCTCCTCCAAATTTGAGGAATGTATGGAACCTTAGAGCAGACTTAATATCTTAAAAAGCATTTTAACATAATTTTGGCTACCTTTCTGCTTCAGTTGTACCTAGTACGCTTCTCTGTCCAGAAAGACTGAGTTGAGGACTCACATTTTGTTTGCTATTTTTCTGTAAATGGTTTTACACAACCTTTCATCTGTTCCAGCTGTAAAGTGAAGACAGGGGTGCTATTAACTCAACTGATAAAGAAATTTATGGGGAGGCAGCCTTAAGTATGTGATTTTCATTTGGCCAAGTGTGTCAATTTATAGGTGAGCCAACTTTGATAGTGGTATTATCTACCACTTATATGTGGAAGAGCTATTCTGGTTTTTAAATGTGAAAGTTAAATGTTCCACTGGAAATGTGGGGGGGTTTTCCTCAAATATTCGGGTATGTGGTTTTGGGAAAAACACAGGAGAAACCTTGCTGCCTCAAAGCACCTTGCTGCTGCGAAGACTAAAGTGTCTAAATTTTAATACTTGTTATTACGTTTCAATAATTCATAGTCCTAAAACAAAGCATGTGCTTTAGAAAATTGAGGTCTAGGTTTATAACTTACTGCATCAGTAGTTTAATACATGCCTAATTAAATATATCCCAAATAGGCCATTTAGATAGCAAGAGGTTTTTATTTCTTCCTTCAAAATAATGTTTTTCTTTAGTTTGGAGAATATGAAGTTCACTACTGAAAGAAGCTGCAGTGTAAAATTAACTGCGTTAAACGTAGTATGGCATCGCTATAGTCTCTGTATAATTTCTCTTCAAGAGGGATTTATTTAAATAGCTTTGTTCCCTGAACAACTTCATTCCTTCACATTGAAGCAGAGCAACAACACTTGCGATTGCATGTCACGTTCACTTTCAGTTGCAATTCTAAAATTATAATTAATGGTAATTATATATATATACACACTATATATAATTGCGTATATATATTATATATAGGTATAATTAACTATTTTTTTGGGGTGGTAGATTTAGATGAGAGATTTTGAGGATTATATTCCAGCTCTAATAAAATATCAGTAACAAAGCATATGTGCAGATCAGCAAATTGCATCTGCCTTTATCTTTCAAGTTCAGTTGATATAGAATATTTCTAAATTTTTTTTTTTTTAACAAAGGTTTTTTCCTTTTGTCCTAAATAGGCGTTGCTAGCTTTGGGCATCAGTCAGTCTGCAAGGACGCCTGACCCTAGTCATCCGTAAGCTTTTTGAGTAAATAATGATTTTGGTAATTATATATAGGAGTAAGATCAGTTCTTGTTTGTGCATCACCTTGTTCTTTTTAATCTGCTGTTTCGTATAATTTCTGAAATGCATTGTTTCTGACTTTACAATAGATAAAATAAGAAAAGGGATTTCTTCCAAACTGCCAGAGTTGTAGCTTCAGTGGCTTGATGCATGTTATATTTCATGATTTTTTTTTTTTTTTTTTTTGTGGTATGCTTTTTGATGTGTATTGTTTTAATAGACATTATTTCATTAAGTTATTCTGGGCTCTTTTACCTCTTCCAATGGGTAGAGTTACTTTGGTTTTAAACACTGTTCATGTGCAAGACAAGATTTTTTTAAAAAGAAAAAATACTGTGCTCTTCCTATTTTCAACAAAGTGCTTTTCTGCAAGGCAGCTACTTGTGTCATAAGGAGATATGTTTGACTTAAACTACTCTTTGTTTTTATCTGACTAATAAGGATATTATTGATAAGTTCTTACTTCATGAAAGTTAGAAGCTATACTCTCCATGATATTTTCTTTGTGTTGACCTGCTTTATGCTTCACATGTTTGGGCAAGTCATTCATACTCTAAGCACCAGTTCAAAATACTTCTAATTTACAGAATTAGTTAAGCTTTTCTTCATTAAGAGCATCAGTTAATTTGAAAAATATTTTAAACTCAAATTTGTCTAAATATTTGTTGTATCTCCTTCCCCCTCTCTCTCTTTCCCCTTCTTCCTTAATATAGTCTTTTGTACTATTGGTTTTTAAATGTTGCTAAAGAAACATACTGTTTGTAGTAGCAGTTAATACCAAAAAAAGGAATAAATGTACACTTTTAATATTGCTTTAGCTCTTCCCACTGCTCTTAAAAACTGCAAGTGTTGAATGTCTGCAGTTAGCTGAACTACTTAAAGATGTCACAAATTTTATTCCCTTTAAATTAGAATTATAAAATATGTAGACTGGCTGCTTATAAGGCTAGAGTTTTCATTTAGAAGTAGCATTTCAATAAAATGTAAAAGTGACGTATGAATTTTTTTTTACAATAGTAAAATCCTCAGTCTTTGCACAAGAGCTAATACAGCTGTGTAAATAGCTTGTTTAAAAACGCATTAGAAAAATATCTGTGCTTGATGTCCTTGCGTGTACTAGATATCCTTTTCCAGGTGGCTTTTTTTTTTTGGATTAGGTTGGATTTAGCAGCTTTGTCTTAAATAGATGCCCAGTCATATGATGATAACTTAAGACATGTAAAAATTAACGGAAAAAACTTTTAGATATGTTTGCAGAGATACAGAATCTTATTTTCCTAAATCACTTTCTTTGTTTTCATCTAGGTATGGTTTCACAAACATGCGCTATATTGCCTCCCTGATTAGTGGAGTGGGGATTTTCATGATGGGTGCAGGACTGTCTTGGTATCATGGGATCATAGGTTTACTCCACCCTCATCCTATAGAATCTCTTCTCTGGGTAAGCTAATCTTGTTTGATATTGTATCTAACACTGCTGACTTAATAGAAAATAATGGCACAGTCTGAAATTCACTTCCTGAGTCAGTTTGAATCCCAACACAATTAACTCAAACCATCCTTAATGAGAATGCGTTTTAAGAAAAAAATCATGTTAAACTATAGCTGGTCTTACAGCAAAATGAGCTGTTCTTTAAACCCTGCATCTTCCCTTCACACCTCCCAAGAGGTCTCCTTTCCTATTTTGCAATATATTGCATAATTCAAATATTGTTGGTTGCCTTCTGTTTAGGCACGTGGCACGGTGCGTAATGAGGTTCTGGAATGCTGCGTTTGGATAGTGTATGGTGAAGAGATCTGTACAAATATGCATGTAATATAATAATTGAGACTTTTTTCCCCATACAGGCATACTGCATTTTGGCAGGGTCATTGGTATCTGAAGGAGGTACGCAGTTCCAAGAAAAATTTCTATTTAAGTGTTTGTAATCTCTAAGAGTACAATGTGAGTAATTACAGTAATAGTTGGTCCTTGCTTACACAGTAAAGTTTAGTTTTGAGCTCTGTTGCAAATACTTGTGTTGTAAACAAACAAACAAAAAAAAGTGGGAAAATTTTTTTCTTATCTGTCTATATAATAAATTGAAGAACACATCATTTGGAAAGTATACGTAGAATGCCTTTTTGGTATTAAACTATCAGTGAATATAACTGTTCTGATTTGTATGGGAGACACGCATGTAAAAAAGAAGGTAACTTTATGCTTTGTCATTATTCAAAGTATCAATAATCAGAGCTTTCTTGATGATCTGTTGCTATGTTGTAAAGAAAAGTTCCCTCTTTTCAAAATGGAAACAAGTCTTTTTGCCTCTAACCATTTTCAGCAACTACTTTGGTGTTGTTTCAGCTACCCTTCTTGTTGCTATAAATGAAATTCGCAGGAGTGCTCGAGCCAAGGGTCTGTCATTTTATCAATATGGTATGTGTTGTTATAGCAATAAGGTATGTGGTTATTTAAAACAGAATCTATTTACCAGTATTTGCATAATGGTAGAAACAATTTTGTCTGTTTTCTCTTTCCCCTTGCTTTATTGATGTGTTTTCTATTCTAGTAACAAATACATTTTGCAAATTAGGTGAAAACCTGTTGATTTAAGTAACACTACTTAAATACTTTTACTAAACTACTTGCATTTTTCAGGATAAATGCTCCTTTAAATTTTTCAAACATTTTGGAGAAACTTCCATAATTGACACAGGGCTTGTTCTGCATATTTATGAATGCTTTCAGAAGTGTGTGCATATGCAAAAATGCAGTTTACACCTATATACTTATGGAAATTTTTCTCTTAAGTTGCTGGTGTTAGTATAGTTTAAGTACTGTGCATAATGTAGTAACGCTAAGCTTTCCAAAGCAATGTGATTTTTTTTTGTTGTATACGCAGTTGTGCAGAGTCGTGATCCTAGTACAAATGTGGTGTTACTGGAGGATGCTGCAGCAGTTCTGAGTGTGGCCGTAGCTGCTACCTGTATGGGTCTGACTTCTTTAACAGGTAAAATTCTGCCTCAAACTGAGGCAAGCAGGATGTGAATTTCTTCCTGTACCTGATATGAACACAGAGCATTTAGTTTATATGGGTTGGCTTAAATACATCTCTGCTCTTTTTCTGATACTTGTACTGTGTAAGCTTCTGGAGGTTTATACTGTTCTCCGATCTGATTTCTAGTAGTTTGAGTTGAAAATATTTAAAATAAAAAAAGAAGTTTAGTTTTTTTCATATGTCTGTTATTGGTGGGGTTAAGCTTGAAAGAGTACATGCAGATGGGTCTAATTTCCTTTTGAGCTATTTTGTCATACAAATTAAGGTGTTTATTACTAAAAGTATATTTATTGTAGTAAGTAAATCACTTTGTGTTATGGTGGGATACATAATTTGGGCTTCCTTAGTCAGTGGTGTGCAGTTCCATGTGCGTGTGGGGAGAATTTAAAGAAGCAGTTCTTTCCTTCCTTTTGATACATAGTGGTATTAGTGTTACCTTCAGATTACAATAGCTGCTCCTGAACAGTGTGGCAAACCTAACTCATGCAGGTATGATGATCTGTATGGCAACTGATTCAAAGTCTGTCTTTGCTCCACAGTTAAGTTCTCTGAAGAGGGAAGATTATTTATTTGTCCCTTCTTAAGTATTGGCTTTGGCTTTTCAATTGTTTAAAAAAATAAATATGGTACTTTTGTTTCTTTGTGGCTTCTAATGAGTTAATTGCAAGTTTCATTTTTTATATAGAAGTCAGTTTTTAATTCCATCTCTAGTTTCCTTCATGAACTTAAAAATACATTACTGTTTCTACAACTCTGAATGTGAATGAATAAGAGTTTAAAACTTATATAATAAGTACTGTATTCCAGAAATGGTTAATACTTGCAAGTTTTTGAGTTACTGATAAAAGAACACAGACTTTTGTGCTACTACCTGTGTTTAGGTGTATATAATTTTATATTAATAAAGGTAAATCTATACACAGAAACCCAAATAGCTGACAAGAGTTTACTCATTTATTAGTCCTGCAGGAGAAAGGAGTGACTGAGGGACAGGAGGGACTTGAGACTTTATCTTAAGATAACTTGTTTTCTTCCAGCTTCATCTTGTTTCCTTAGTAGGAAAGAATTGCCAGTGCATTAAAAAAAAAACCTAGACCCAAAACAAACAAACAAAAATCCCATCAAAAAGCAAACACCAACCCCCCCCCCCAAACTATGTACTCTTTTCAGTGTGAAATCTGAATTATCTGCTATGTGTTAGAAATGCTCTGTGAAACTAATTTGACATCTCTTGTTTAGGAAACCCTTATTATGACAGTGTGGGGTCTCTAGGTGTTGGAACTTTGTTAGGAACTGTGTCAGCATTTCTAATCTACACTAACACTGAAGCCCTGCTGGGACGATCCATTCAACCTGAACAACTGCAGCGACTCACCGAATTACTGGAAAGTGATCCTGTAGTAAGGTAAGAATATTTACAGCTCAATCTCTGCTAAGAACAACAAAAAGCAAGAAAATAACATTTGGAAAAAATAGTTCAAGTGCTTTAAATGAGAGAAGTCTGGTGAGATTGATTATTTTTAGGGTGGATACTTCTGTATTGAGATTTTACAATCTTAATTATTACTAGCTTCTCTTTCTGTGCTAAAAATTTCAATAAGTGAATACTTGTACCTCTCATATGTTCCACAGCTGAAACAAAATTGCAAATACGTTCTAACAGTTACATTAATTACAGGATTTGAAAATGACTTAATGAGAAAGCCATCACAAACTTAAAAAAATGCATGAAATGCAAGCACTTAAATAATCCTGTAATGTTGCTTTTATAGTTTATTAGCACTTAAATATTTAAGTTCTGTTACTGTTAATATTTAGTGTCTGAACTTCTGTAGCAGTTGGCAGTGAAGTGCTGCAGTAGTATTATGATGTAATAGATTCTGCATGTTAGATGTTTACAGAATGAACTCAATACTAATTTCTCTTTCTTTGGAAATCTGTAATTTGTAGTGAAATAAACTTATAGCTCATGAAATTCTGAAAACTTGTTTAAATGCTTTTTTAAGGAGCTATTTTAGCTTACTTCAACCCTATTAACCTTGATTTAGAAGCAAAACCCTTTTTGTTTTCTTCTTAATCTTTATTCAGGAATATATTTCTGTGTAAATCAGATGGAATATTTTAGTGCTTTTTTTATTCGTAGTCATTACTGAGCTCTAGAGGGGAAAAAACCCAAGCCCATTAGTTAACACCAGAATACTTGAAAGAAACTAAGTGCTGCATCATCTCAGTTGCAAGCAGCAGGTCTGAATGCCCTTCATGCCCAGAAGTTAAACAAGATTCCTATTTTGGAATAGAATTGTGTTAGAATTTTCGCATATCAGTAACTAAATTCTGTTAAAGTATTTGTGGTGGCCCTGGATTAGTCTGAATGGTGGAGCGTGTGTCAGCAGTGCTGTGTTAGAGTAGGTGAGTTCACATGGTTATTTGTACACGACTTCTGTAGTTCTTTTTTTGAAAGTGCACAGTTGGCCTTTGCTTGTCTCAGGCTGGAATCATAAAATTTCTCCTATCCCAAGCACCATTTTATATTATATTCCATTTTGTAGATAGCTATAACCTCTCAGCAGAGCAGACTTAGTTCATCTCCTTCTTGCTGTAGACATTTTTTTAAAATGAGAAGTAACTTAATTTTAAAAAAAGCACGAAGAATAAAAAAGTGAAGACTTGGTAAGAAACTACGTGTTTCTCTTAAGGTTAAAAGCTGAAACATGTTTAGGTAGTTCTCATAACACTGTTTGCAGGACCTTCTGTATGCACTTTGTCTTGAGTGATCTCTTTCTTAGATCCATTACGTTACCCGCTTTAATTTCTTTTAGCGCACACTTTGTCTTTGACCCAGTTCTTCTTGTAACAAGCCTAATATTTTGAGCTTGGTTAACTTATATCTTCTAATAAGACACCTGGTCTTGATCTCAGAATTCTCTGGGATGTAAACGTATATTACCTTTGCTTGTAACTAGGCATAATTTGGGGAAAACGCTACTCTAATTTTTTTTCTTATTCCAATCTTTGGTTAGTTAGGTTTTTTGGTTTGTTTGTTTTCAACTTTTTCCTGTGAAATGAGGAAGTCTTTTAGCATCAAGCCTTTCTTCAAAAGGCTACTTGTACATTTTCATCAACATAGCTTTGGGCTTGTAAGAGTTTCAGCATTTTTTTGAACATTCAAACTCTCCCATTTTCTTAAATGGAGTTGTGTAATAGTATGTCCTACTTTTACATTTTTACCAAATGTAAAAGAAAAAGCTTCTGAGTACTGGTCTGCTTCTAAAGCTACTTCTCTTTTTATTTCAACCTTTCAGGGTTTTCAGCTATCAAACTGTATCTCAGTGCAATCTTTTTTGCGATTGTTGCTTCCCAGAACAGTCCTCCCTTGTTCTTTCAGGGAGGGTTTGCAATCTTTATTTTCAGATGTTCTGCCAAATATGAAGGGGATATATTAGGGAATCATTCAGTATTCATCAGAAGGTATTTTAGATCCAAATTGACCAAAGGATCCAGAGGCTCTGATTTCCGCTCCTCCCTGCCCCTGTCAGCACCACCACCACTTAACTAATTCCAGCAGTAGCTTTCCTGAACATCATGTTCCACTGCTAATTATAAAGTATTTGTTTTATCAGACAATACTAGCAGCTGTACTACTAAAATAAATAATCTCTGTGGTGTTGATCTTTTTTTTCAGATAAATCTTGATTTTTTTTTTTTTTTTTTTTTTTTTTTTTTTTAAACAGAGTTGTTTGACAACACCTACATTCACTAAAACCTTAATGACTGGAATTAATTAATGCTCTTAATACATAATTTTTTTCCCCACCTTTTTCACTGTTTTTCCTTGAGTTGTCAGGTGAACTTGTCTGTAATTAAATGGATTACTTCATTTGCTGTTCTTAAATTTTGGCGCAGTGTTGTTAATCTACTCTTTTTTTTTTTTTTTTTATTCTCATCAGTATTGCAGGATGACAAATTAATTGGCCTTCTGAATTAGAAGCAATTTTTTTCCTTTTAAATATCCAGTATGCTTCTCTGCTACTAATAGGGAAATGCTTTGTTGTACTAATATATCGTTTTGCTTTTTTAGATCAAGAAAACAGTAATTATTGCGTGTTTCTGCCTATTCTGTATCATCAGTAACAATTTTACCATTTCCATCTAGTAGCAGGCTTGTTTCCAGGTTATCCTTTGGTTTTGCTATACTTAAAAAATGTTGGTTTGTATCACACACAATGCCTTCTTTTATGCTTCTCCTATCAGTTTGTTGGACTTCATAATTTCTTTTTTAGGCTCATGGCTATTTATTTCCCCTTTCTTTTCATTTTGCTTGGTAATTTCTAGTTGTAGCTCTTACTTCATTTGTGATCCAGAATGGGCTTTCAGTCAGAGTTGTTCTGAGCTGGAAAATTATTTTATTTTTTGCTCTAGAAACATTCCATTCTTAACTCTCATTCACTCCTTTGGTGCCTGAATCATTCTTCTGTTCATCTTAACTGAAGTGTAGATTAGGCTTTCAGAACTGTGAAATAAAATATATTGTGTGGTACAGACTGTCCTGATTCTGTTCTTATGGAATGTAATCACAGATCGCTAGGCATAAACTATTCTTAGTGACAGTTTCATCTTTAATTTTTACTTCATTGTAATAGCTATTGGGTAATTGTGCTACTGTTGTGCTGGAAAAATCTGTCATTCTGGTTTGGAGGAGAAAAAAAAAAAAGTATTACAACTAATGGCTCAAAACAATAACTTGACATCCTCTGACAAATTTTTCTTTAATGTGAAACTTGCTCTTTTCCTTAGGTTGAATTGATGGTGTCTACTAGCCATCCAGAAGCTTCCATAAGCAAGCTTTGTAGCTTAAGCTTTAGCATACATATTTGTATTTTTGAATTATTAGTGATTTTTCTCCTCTTGACTCACTGACTTATCTTTCCTGGACAGATTTATAAGCAGTAAGGTAGACATTTTTTCTTCACATTTACAGAATATGCATCATTCTGCTGAATTTTACCAGGTTACTGCTTAATGAGAATCTCAAATATCTCTTGTTATCTCCTTGCTTAGCTCTGATAGGCACTTGATGTATCTTCAACATTTTTGAACCACATGGATTCACATTCTCTTCAATAACCCTCACTGAACCACATCCATTATCTTAAATACCCTCTTGTGTGAGGAGGTAGTTTGATGCCATTTAGGTTACTGTTTTGATTTGGTAGCTTCCCACAGAAGAACTGTCTAAATTTGATTGGAGCTGGAAATTCTTTATTGCTACCAGTAAGCTGATAGTTCTTTTAATCTGCTTAAATGTTTACTAAGATGTATTTTTTGGTGTCTCTATATTTAGTTAATCTTCTATTTCTTTTTTAATGTGCTTACTCCTCCTCCACCCTGAGTATTGCAAGAAATATTCCATAAACATTTTCTGTGACTATTCATCTTAAATTGCTTCCTGTTCTTTGTCAGCTGTTCACTCTAACAGGCTACTTCCGAAATATATGCCTTCCGCTTTCTTCCTGAACCACCTGTGAAGTTAGTTATGATTTACAAACATTCAGATGAGAAGAAACATTTCTAGTTGGGAAGAGTAAATTTGCTTAAGACAAAGGGCACGCTAAATTTAAAGATGCTGTGAAATTGCACAACTTAGTAAAATGAACGGGGGGAAAAAGGTTTAGTACTTTCCATCAAGTGAGTTTTATTGCTGAATCTAAATTTTGTTTTAGAACTTAAAAAATTGTCAAGATCGCATTTTTCTGTTAATAAAACCAAAGTCTTTGGAATATTTTATAGTTGAGCTCAGATACTTGTTTTGCTTTGGAAATGTCAGAAGAAAGCATTTCAAAAATTTGAAACTTCTTTGTGATGTATGTCTCATATTTTAATCTGCACTTTTTTTCTGGCCTTGACAGAAAAATGTGGAAACTTACTCTGCAGTGGCAATTTTAAATTCTATTTGGCTTTAAAGATAAACTAATCTAAAGTGTTAATCTAATCAGAAAAAAACTAGAATATTTTATTTTATGATTTTATTTTATATTTATTCCACTGTTGAAACGCACCGCAGTATCTCCGAGTCCTGAGTTTGCTTCATATCTTACTATCCTTGAAAAATAGAGGGCTTTTTGTTTATTACCTATATTCACACATCACAGAGTTTATCTAACAAATTGGAACAAAACTATACTATAGAGAAACAGAAGTTTTCAAAGGACCAAAATATAAACATTTTACAACATTCATGTTCTAGTATCTATTAGGAACCTTTAAATAAATATACATTTTCAGCATTTACAAACAACTGTGTTGTGACTAGTCGTGATCAATAATTCAGTACAATCAAAAATGAGTTCCAAACACGACATCGATAACTTTTCCTTATATCAAATGTAACTTTAAATAGAAAATTCTCCATGCCTTTACAAATTGTAGTTATCTAGGAAAGGACACTTCTATAATTGCAATGTGTGCTTTCAGTAATTGACAATAGATTATTGTTCCTTACTTCAGAATTGAGGGTACTTAAAGTTTGTTACATAGTGTCATATATATGTATATGGACAAAAAGTTTCATGCAGTAGCAAGTAAGTTGAACTCGGAACAGGGAAGTTCTCATTTTCTGTTGTGGGATGTTTTTTTTTTTTTAATACAATTGATCTAGTTCTAAATCTGCGATGCTTCTTGTAGTCTGTCTTTTATCTCAGCAAGCCATTTATAGATGTGTTAATGTAGCAGATGCCTGTGGAAATGGTATAACCGGTTAAATATAAATCAGTATTTAATGGAAGTGTGTGGTGGCAAAATGAGGATATGTTAGTCAAAGGCAGTGGCCGTTTAAAATTACAGGATCATTTTACTGTGACAGTATTGTTAACATCAGAAGACAAACTAGCTAGGTGTTTGTTTTATGTTGTTCTACATTTTCTTTAAAAATTATGTGTTTCAGAGCAATTCATGATGTTAAAGCCACAGACATGGGAATGAGCAAAGTGAGATTCAAGGCAGAAGTAGACTTTGATGGACGGGTTGTTACTCGTTCTTACCTGGAAAAACAAGACATTGAACAGCTGCTACAAGTATGTTTAAAAAAAATGATTTTGTAACTCCCAGTATTTGATACTTACTTTCCAATTTCAAGTATGTCTAAAACCAAGATTTTCAAGTAGGTGAGATATATTCCACTTCTTCAGTTTGAAGGATTGCAGATGTTTTTACTTTGTGTTAGTGTGTTAAATATCTGTACACGGAATCATATTATGTGCTGCTGAAATAGAGCCACTCTTTTGGGCTGAGTAGGGCCTGGGTAGGAGGAAGACAGATTTTTTTTTTTAAAATTCAATTTTTTGTTAGAAAATACAGATTTGTCCAAAATAACTTTGATGAGAACATAATTCTTCCAATAAGTTTTTATTGAATTACAAGATCTCTAGTTAAAACTGGAAGCCTGTCACCTGAGAATAAGCATCTGTTTTGGCAGAGCCATTTGCCTTGGGTGCTGAAGATGCAGTATTATGGTTTATAGATCCTGCCATTCAGACTAGGCTTGAATATGGATTGCTTGCATCACATGACTTAGCATTTTGACAGTGTTTAACAATTAACCACCCTTAAGTAAGTGTCTGTCTCTGATTTTAGTGTCGTTCAGAGTAGCTTTTCTTAATCCCTTTCTTCAATATAGAAATGCAAAACTGCTTTCAGCTGGACTCTACACAGCAAAGCTATGAAGTATGAAGTAAAAAATAATTTATCTAAATTACAAGGAGAGTTTTAAGTGGGCAAAATGTTTTGCTTGCTTACCCATTTTTGCCAGTAACTTGCTTATATACATTTGCTTGTGTACCTACAAGATTTCCTTCTTTGCTACCCTTTCAAAATGAAAAGTAGATGTCAGATGTCTGCATTTTATGTCTGTCTGTTAAACACAACTTAGAAGTTATCTGAGTTTACATTTAAATTACTACAATTTTTTAAACCATTAGTCAGTGTCCGTTTTTAAAAAGTACCGCCCTTTAATGTCAAAATAAAAATGTGTGTATATTATATATATAGTGCAGTAAGAGATATGTTCATGTATTGGATTTCAATTTAATACATTTTTGAGAGGAAGAGTGCTGTCAGCTTTGCACAACTGAGGCGCTGCAGGTTTGCTTCGTTTTATATTGCCAAGTCTCAGTTGCTTTGCAATGTTTAGTACTCTACTCTTCTTTTCAAAGGCTTTGTTAGCTTTTGTTCTTTACCCACTATTCCCTTTGGCAATTGCCTACAACCTTCGCTGGTTCTTCCAACTAGTATTGTTGGGAAATTCTTCCTGATTGTTTCTAGGTTGGCAACTTTTTCTTACACAGGTCATAGTAGTTTCATGTAGTAACCTTGTGTCAGCTATAAAACCATTTTCAGCAGGACTCAGCCACCCAGAGTCAAGGGCAGACATAGTGCTTGCCTTTTGATCTATAGTTTTTCAAATAACTAGCTCATTCAACTAGCATTGCTATCAACATTACTCTTTCTAAAGTTGTGAAATATTTGTTGAAATGCTGTCATTCAGATTAATCTCGTTTCTTGTTATAGGTGATCGTAGTCATAGTTTATTGTGGTTGGGATATCTTTTAAGCTCACTCAATTACATTATTCCTCTTCAGTTTTAGAGTAATGGAGGGGCAGGGTGGGGGGAGAAATGGATGTTGTGTTGTAGTTGTATACACAAGAAGAATTAGCTATTTAATAATTACTGTGTCTGTTAGCAACAACCTATTTGTCCTAAACATACTGCAGCTGTATTGCCTAAACTATGGCTGAGATACGACAGGGCAAGTGGCTTCTGGCCAACTTGGTGTGAGACTCTAAGGAAAGCTCATGATAATGTTGTAATACTTGCTTTGGTGCTTCTGATGTCTGTGGTGTTTTGGAGGGAGGAGCATGGCATCCTGTCTTCCTTAACCTCATTCCTTCAGTCTCATATGCTATGGGTCTCCTAGTCCGAGTTCCTATCAACTATCTTTGAGTTTTTTTGATATTATGGAGGAGTTGTATTTACAGCAGCATTCATAGTAATCCTTGTGGATTTTCAGATGAGTTGGTAAATGTGATGCCCAGAGTAAACAGTGTAATGGAATAGCAAGAATGTATGAAAATGAGGAAAGAATACACAGGGGTACCCTGCTCTGCCTTGTTGTGAGCAAGGGATACCCCAGAAACTTCCAGAAAATGAATGAAATTCTCTAAACTTATTTGGAAAATAAAGGAGAAAATCCATTAAAGATAGAAGAAGGTTTTATATCAAGTGCAGGTGTAACGGTAAGCCAGCTGTTTTCATTGAATAGATGCTACTTTTCTGTGTCTTTGAGACATAAAAACAGATGATGTTTTGAAAGGAAATGGCAAAAGCTGAAAAGTGGTTTTTTTGTGTTGTTTTTGGTTTTGTCCCTCACCCCCGAAATATATCAGGACCCTCTGTAGTGTTATTCCTTTCTTTTCTTTCCCTTATCTCAACCTCTTAAATTCGATTTCTTCCTAGGAAATTCAACAAGTGAAAACCCTTGAAGAATTAGAAGCCTTCATGCTTAAACATGGTGAGAATATCATTGACACGCTGGGGGCTGAAGTAGACAGACTTGAGAAGGACCTAAAGGTAAAATTTAGCTGCTTATTAAGGAGTGCTTATTCTGTGATATATTTTAAACAATATCACTGCATCTACTTTTTGGGATTTTGTTTGTAAATCTGGGAGAGGGGATGAGGATGATAATCCTAATGCAAATTTTCTTGCTATAGTATCATTAACTGAGGTCTGACCAGCGGCAAACTTTGCCATTGATCGTTTGTTATGTATTTTGTTCAATTTTATACCACTGTAGAACAACATTTTTGTGAAATGAGACCTGATTGTGTCTTTGTTATTGTATTCTCAGAATGGCAGGTTATTTACAGGCTCTTGAATTCTGTTTTGGTTGTAAAGAAGCAAATTTCAATCTTTTTTTTTTTTTTTTTTAAATCTGTATCAAATACAAATTTGTATTGTATACAAATTTATAAATTGTATCAAATACATCAGTGTGTGATGAGGGCTTTACTCAATATTTTTTTCTCTTGTTGAAGCAGTACAGTGTTTACTTCGTTTATAAGCCTGTCATAACTTTCTTATCATTACTTTTTTTTTTTCATTCTGTGATTTAAATATCCTTTGGTTGATGCAACAAAGGATTGTTTCCATTTTTAATTTCATAATAATATTGTGGCTGTTAATCTTACCTTTTCTGGCATGAATACAGAACTATAAGTATACTGACTGGCAGGCAAATACAGTCCTGTCACGACTGCCTTTTCCAGTCATCAGGAGACATGGCTCAAGAACATGTCTGTCTTTGCTTACTATATTTGATAAATACTCTAGTTTTATTTTCTATCCCTAGGGTGGTGCTGTTTAAAAATCAAAATACTATTTTTCAGTTTAATTGCACCAGCAGATCTAGTTCTTCACGGTTTTTGAGGAGTAGGATCATGACTAATTATTTTATAAACATGAATACTGTTTTTTGGTATAGGCAGGGATTTCAGTGATTGTGTTGCTGTTGAATATGCTTTACTAAATATGCTAGTCAGATTCACATGCTGGATGACTTTGAAGTCAGTGACTTTCAGTAAACCTCTCATGGATTATACAATCCATATAATGACAACAACGTATTTCTACAATATCAGAAAATGCGTATTTCTTAATAGAAACAGTATTTTGAATCTTTATAAATAGCTTCAATGGCATAGAACAAACTATTTCAGCAATCTTACCCCTTATTCAGGAAAGTATCTGTTAAAACTTTCTTAAAGTGAGAGAGAGATATATATATGTTTATTTGGACAGGTTTATATAAAAGCCAACTGCCTTTTTAAAATCAAGAGAGCTGCTTCATACTTTATAAAGCATAAGAACTAATTTATCTGTGATGTTGAAAAGTATTTGTCAAATAAAAAGATGACTTAGCCTTCAAAAAATTGCTTATAGTATAGGCAGTGTTTGTTGAAGCTATTCCTCATTTTGAAATAGTCCGTATGTTAGCAGCAAAGGGGATTTGTTATGCAGTTGCCAACATCATACCAGAAATATATTATTTGTATCCATGTGCAAAAATGTGTTTGAATATTTTCAATAAAAATGTATTTTTTAAAATTTATTTTATTTCAGCAACGAAATCCTGATGTTCGTCATGTGGATTTGGAGATATTATAGACTTGGCAGAAGAAATCTTCAGGTTGCTACCATTTTGGAAAGAAGTCATGTAAAGGGCTGAAAAAGCTTCTGAAATTGCAGTGACCTCAGCACCATACCTCGCTTAATTTTGCTGTAGGCTTCCTGGACTGTTAGCACGGCTTCTGTTTCTGGAAGAGCGCTAGACTCGCAGGCAAAAATTTCCATGGCAAAATCAGTTTTAAAAAGCTACTTGACTTAAATTCCACAGGAGAGTCTGTCAGAGTATATTTACTGCAATTCAGAACTTAAGACTTGAGGTTTAGTTAGGCAAATACAGCTGCCTGAAAATAACGAACACATTTAGTTTTTTCCATTTGTGTCCCTTTGCAGTCAATTTGCACTTCTTTAGTTTCTTTCAAGATATCATTAAAGGTTCTTGGGAGATATTAATATTAGCTAGGAAGAGTTTGTTCCAGTGGAACCTGCCAACCTTAAACTAATTGTAGTATTTCAACTGTGTGGTTGTTTCACAGTTTTTCTTTTCTATGACATAAATTCTTTTAAAGAGGCACTGGCCTTCTCTCAAGTACCGTGACCTGGAAACCTGCTTTTTGCCACTGTTGTGATTACCAACCGCACTTCAGAAAAATAAGGTTTTTCTCCTAAATAAGGTTTTTCTCCTCAGTGGAGTCAGCTGTATGTGGTTAGCCAGAGTATGTTAAGTTACTGTGAAGAAATTACTGTGTAGAGATTTCAGTGAACTTCCTCTGTTTAAATTTTGTTCTTTTTTCCCTACTTTGACACTTGTTCTCTTATTTGTAAGTACCTTCCGATGTAATCTGGGAGATATTTATGGTAGTGCTTATTAAAAGTTCCCTGGCATTTTTGGCTTTTTAAACTTTTAATAGGCTGTATTGCCAGATATGGTCTTTGCTAGAAGGTGTAAGAGTTGGAAGTTACAACAGTAAAAAATGTATTAGAACTATTTATAATTAAACAAATGAATACATTGTATTTTTAATTTATTTACCTCTAGACATTATCTGTTATCTGAATTCTAAACCGCTTACTTTGTGTTTTTTAAGAATTGACCTTGCTTGTTTGGGGAAGTAAAGTAATTCTATCAGTGGTCCTCAACAATCCTGAGATAAGTGCTTAGAGTTTATAACACTGAAATGTGCAATTCTTGCACTGTGTGTAATCAGCCTCAAGGCTTTCTGCAGTAGGCACCCAAGTTGTACCAGATTCTTTGAGACCCATCTTTATTAATAAGGCCATGAGTACTGATCATGCAAGTTGAAATATAAGTGAAATAACTGCATATAAATAACTCTGAGGAAAATCCTTTATGCACTTTAACATATTTCAGTAAAATGAGAATTGCTTATGGATGAGAGGTGGTAATAAGACCCTCCTAGTGACTCAGTTGCTGAGTATGGACTGACTTACTGAAAGAAGAAATGTTGATATGAAACACAAGTCTTCAAAAATCAATTTAAGATTAAATTATAAGCATTGCAGCAAATAATAATTGTGGAGACCAATATGTCCAGATTTGACTAAAAGCTTTTTAGAATGTTTTTTTTTCATACTAAGTGTCACTTACTGGTGAATTATGAGAATTTAAAACAGCATGCCGTTTGACAACTGCAAAGCACTTTGCATGCTGGTCATTTTAAGTAGAAAAACATTCCAGGGTTTAGTTACAGACGGGACTTCACATGCAGTAATTGTGAGTGAAAGGGTCTCTTTAGTACCCTTGTCCATAATCCCTATTCACTGGTCGCTTCTTTATAGCATATTAGCTTATTATGGCTAATCCAAAAGAAGGCTTACTTTATCTGGTTTTCTCCTATTGTAGAACTGGTTAGTATAATTGAGCCCGGTAATTTGAAATGCAGTTTAAAGTTTAATTTGGAAGTGTACTGTATCAAGTAAATAAGGCATATTTTAGCACATTATAAATCATTTACCTTTCTCCTCGCCCTTCCATGGAAACTTCATCTCATCTCAGTATGCACTCTGCTGATGTTAGTCTTACTCATGAAGAGCACTGGAATCTGACAATGCATAACCTCTTTCCTTCTTCCTAGAATATTTATATGGATTTTGAATTTGAATAAACACTTTAATAAACCCATTATTCCAGAAATCTTAAAAACCTGAAGAGAAGTAAAACTGGGAAAATGTTCTTACTGGAGAGGGTAGTGGAGACAGCCAAGGTGATCTAAGTGTTTTGTATGCTGGAGTTGCTGATGAATGAGTAGTGTTAGTATGCACTTTGCAGGGCAGAAATTTCACTGAGAGGTTAGTAAAGGTTATCTCAATACCGAAGTGTTCCCATATCTTGTTTAAGAGGAGGCATGAGTTTATATTCTTACGGGGCATCTGGTCCAAAAGCCTATAAAAATGTTTTGTTATTTATCAGAGATGTAATTTGTATAAATTCGATCTTAATTTCCTTATCTGAGTCCGAAGCAATACCCATCCACACACTTTTGTTTGTATTCCAAGATAAAATTCAGATCCTTGTCTCCCAGTTACATAATTGATTATAGCATCACAATATGTTAAATTTAAGAAGCCAGAATTTGAATATTTTTGGGTACATAACAGTTGCATAGTTTGAAGACCCAGTTTCATTTTTAAAAACGATCTGGATGGTGATGTACCACCAAAAGGCAGTACCTGGTTTTGGCAGTACCTTGTAAGTTTACATGTCTTGCAGTTGGATGAAAATATCAATTCATTGAGCCTTGTCAGGTTGGAAAGGAAAAGTAATTCCAAGCTGTTACATTTTAATATATATTATAATTTGCATATTGTTTTTAGCAGTTTTGACGTTTTTACTGCTTTTTTTCTTAACTGTCTTTAGGGTCTAAAACTCAAGGTGATGTGGGTCCAGTACTAAGTTTACTTTTATTTTAGTGGTTTTTGGGGAAAATGTTTAGGTAATACATTTACATGATAGAATCCTCAGAATTAAAGAAAACTTATAAAGTGTGGAGGAGTGGATTTTTTCTTTATCACAAATGCAATTACATAATGTTTCTTTTAGATTGATTTTAAGGAAAAGGATTTTAAGGAAAAGGAGTGAGGATTTAACAATAAAGTTGTATTCTAGGATTTTTTTCAATTAAGGTGTGGTCTTTTAAAAAAATTTATTTTTGTAGACTGGCCTTGCAGGTTTTATTTTTTAAAATTGTGTTTAAAGTACTACTGCCCTCTGCTTTGTGAAAGATTGCTTACATGTTGCGCAATGTCTCATAATTCTGTGAAACTTGCGATGTTTGAAAAAATTGTCTTAGTGTTCCAATATACTGAGTGATCTTAATGTATTTTAAGTCAAAGTTGGCTGGACACTAATGATACGTGTTTACCTCTAGAATTTGTTTTTCTATAAAAGATAAAATTCTGAAGTGATTATCTTTCCCCTGTGAATCAATTTCAAGTCTGAATTGTCTCCTTTATACACTGTGGAATTCAGTATTTGATATGGTCCCTCTCTACTCCTCCACTTTTTAAAGCATTTATTAAGCATATTGTAGTAGTAAATACTTTAGTGGACTACTGTATTACAGAGACTGCTTGCTGTGTGTTCTGGTCTAGAAGTAGCAGGGACTCAGGGAACAGGAAAATATTTTTTAAGGACAAGTTGCATCCTTTATCCTCTGTGATTCATACTCAGGCTGAAGGTTTTTTAGCTTCTACTTTTCTCCTTCCTTGAATTCCCACACAGATTTTATTATTTTTTTAATAACTCTTACTTTTAGAGGAGGAAGCCATTACGAGCATCTTGTGTTTTTAGTAGCAGGGCTAGATGCTACTCTTGGTCTCTGGATTTTGTACTGTACTTGTTCATTGATAGTTGACAATAGTGATTGCTGGTTTGAAAGCTACAAATCATGTTAGCCAAAACTACCAGAGTTTTCTGATTCTGGCAGGTGCAGTTTTTTCAGCTATATCTGGAGACTCAGTTTTTATTGAGAGATTTTTACTGGCCCTTCTGTGATAAGGGAGAGCGCAGGGAAGAGTTTTGTCTAGGTGATATGCTGATTGCAATTCTGTGTTCTCCTTATTTGTTATCATTTTAGCTGACATCTTTTTTCCGTTACAAAGAAAAAATTACGCATTATGAAAGTACTTCTACTAATGATGAGTGCATCGAATACAAGCTTCCCTCAAAAGAGTTTTTAGGCTTTTGTGTATTCAAAGTGTGGCAATTTTTGAAAATTCTCAATTAAGTAATCCTTTTTCTAAAGTTGATTTAGATGTGTTTCTTACAAAAGAATCCACAGAAGCATATTGTTTAAGATTTGAAAGAAAAGTATTTCATTTTATGGTCATATGTTCTTAAGGCATTCTGGCTTGGTAGAATAGAACAATTGATTAATATTGACTCCTGTACAAAAACTGAACTTCTGTGCATGCCTAAAGGCTCATTGCGGAAGGGAATATAAAATGACGATGTGCTTTTTATCTTATAGCTTAAGTATTGTGCTGCTTCTATTCTTATTGTTAGCTCTGAATAGAGAGTACAACTAGCATCTCTTTTGCAGTTTACCTGCTTAATGTAAATGAGAAGTCAAGGTGTACCAAAAAGATTTTTTTTTTGTAGAGAAGTTGCGTAGCTTAAATAAGTAATTTTTCTTTTCTTGTTAGTGAGACACAAATAATTAAGGTCAAAAGTAGACTGTATCTTTATTACATATAAAAAGAAATAGGAGTTCAGGCTTTAAAGCACAATAGCCAGACTTTCGAAATGCATGTCCTTTGAGGAAAACAAAATGTGCCAGGAGCTCTAAGTGGTTGTATGGACTATAGAAACTGCAGTCAGTCAGGCTTTGCTGAAGCAAAAGAAAAGAAACTATAACAAAGTGTGTGGTAAAAAGAAAAGAATACAAGGAAGGAAAAAAACTAAGGTGTTGAGCATCTAAAAAATGTGGCCAGAAATAAGAAATTGTGATTGGAGAGGAAAAGAACAGTAAGAAATGGTATTTGATTAGAATATCATAAAACTGCATAAAACTATGTAGTATGACATTGGCTTTCATTTAGGAATATTCAGATAGCTGGGTGATTCCTCCCTCCCACCCCCAGGAAAAACGCATCTTTTTTTCCCTCTAATGAAAATCAGTGCCTCCGTTTAACTGTTTCCTAATATGGTATTCAGTCTTGCAGGTATAAACCTATTTGTTCTCTGAAAACTTACTCTTACTGCTCAGTCTGGAGCTTTGTTGGTGAGGTATGTATTTGGTGAGTGGAGGGTGAGTAATTTTAATTATGGAAACGGGGCATGCAGTGAATTGAAGAGAAAATGAATTGGTTCTTTCAGCCAGAAAATGATTGAAGCACTGATTGAAGCATACTGAAGATGTTACGGGGAAAAAAAAAAGGTGCGGTGTTTTAAGGTCTACAGAATTCTTGCAATGGACTGTAATCATTGGTGAATATGTTAGTCCATATTTTTCAAGTTGCTTAAATGCCTGTCAATAAGCAAGATTTCTAGTTAAATCATCACATTCTGAAAAGGAGTTAAAGAAAACAT